AAACAAAGAAAAACAAAACAAAAATCAGATCGACTGACTTAGTGGTCAGCAGGTGAAGTGAAGAAATAGTACCTGTCCCTGCACCACATCCGTACCACTCAGTCTCCTCTGTAGCAATGTGCCTAGCATATTCTATCCCTTCACCAGATGCAATCACAGCATGCAATCCCACAGAATCAGAACATGGGCACCAGGCAGAAAACTGACTCAAATCTACTTTTGGGACAGACACCAGATTTCATTTTGTCTACTATTCCATAGTGCAGTATTCTCAAATAGGCTTTGCATTGAAACACTTGTTTTTCTTCTTCTATCAAGTTGAACTGYCAACATAATGTCGGAAAGGATATGAAAAATAAACGAGTCTTTTCTGGAAGAGGCACAATATCTGGAACTGGAATTAAGGCTAAATAAATAGTGCTGGTTTATGGTTATACTGTTATACATTAACAATTTTGTTAACCAACAGCTTCACTGTTTGTCCTGTATGCCTGTTTATGAAGATGCATCTCTATTTCTTCTCTGAAGACCATCATTCCCAGGTGGGAATGAGAAGCCTCATTCATGGCTTTAGACTGTATGCACATGCGGTACTGCTCAGGGGTTAGCTCATCTGCACAGTGTTTTTCATGCCAGAGGTGGAAAAGACCAGGAACTGGAGTCCGAATCACAATAAGGTCACCATGTAAGTATTTTCGATAAAGATGAACATCTTCTCCACCCCAACCTTTTACTTCCATGTCAAATCCACCTGTGGGATCAAAATTGACACCATAAGTAATTGCCTGACAGCCAGAGCACAAGCAGACACCATAAAGATTTTAAATGTTCTATTTCAAGTGAGATGACACGGTATAGCACAAAATCACTGATACAGAGACCTGAACTCCTGCTTTGAAAGTCCAGTTAYATGTTGACATTTAGTTAAACTCTAGAGCTCAAGTTCAGTTGCTGAGACTATCAGAATGAGATTAGRTATTTGAGAATACTTTGTAAACTTTAAAGTTCTATATGGTCAATAAAAGAGAAGGAAATACAAATCACCTAAACTATCCTTCAAGACTTGAGTTTTTCTGGATTACAGAAAACTTTCCTCAGGGGAGAACAGAAGAAAAGGTCAAACTGGGTATAAATCTGAGAATGGATACATAGATGATTTATAGCCACAGGAATGAATAAAATTTTTGAAGAAATTCATAAGAAAAATAGGGCCAAGGTCTAAACACTAAGAAATACCAATTTCTAAGCTGGAAGCAGTGGTGCACACCTATAATCCCAGCAGCTTGTTAGGCTGAAGGAGGAGCATTGCAAGTTCAAAGCCAGCCTCAGCAACTTAGTAAGATTAGTGAGATTTTGTCTCAAAATAAAAAGCACAAAAGGGCTGGAGATATGGCTCAGTGGTTTAGTGTCTCTGGGTTCAATTCCTGGTACAAAAAAAAAAAAAAAATTAATAAGAAAAAAGAAAAGAAAAGGAAAAAAATGTCAATTTCTTGTGAAGAAAGATAAGCCAGCAAAAGAGACTAAAAGTGAACCCAGATCAGTGGAAACCTCTGGAAAAGATGCATCTCAGTAGTCAACTGAAGAAAGTGTCTCAAGGAAAAAAGTACATTCATACAGCGCTGGTGGGAGTGCAAATCAGTGCAACCATTGTTGAAAGCACTATGGAGATTCCTCAGAAAACTTGGAATGGAACCACCATTTGACACAGTTATCCCACTCTCAGCATATACTCAAAGGACTTCAACATACTATAGTGACACAGCTACATAATGTTCATAGCAGCTCAATTCACAATAGCTAAACTGTGGAACCAGTCTAGGTTCCATTTAACARATGAATGGATAAAGAAAATGTGGTATGTATACACAATGGAATACAACTCACCATAAGAGAAATGGAAATTATGGCATTTGCCGGAACATGGATGGAACTGGAGACTACCATGCTAAGTGAAATAAGCCAATCTCCCCAAACCAAAGGCTGAATGTTCTCTCTGATATTCGGGTGCTGACTCACAAAATAGATGAAGGAGGGAAGAGGTGGAAGTTCACTGGATTGGACAGGGTGGGATGGGGAGATGCAAAAGGAGGATGGGAATGGGAAATATAGTAGAATGTATTAGACATAACTTTCCCATGTTCATATATAAATACATGACCAGTGTAACTCTACATCATTTATAACCACAAGAATGGGAAGTTATACTCCATGTATGTATGATATATCAAAATACGTTCTACTGCCACGTATAACTAAAAAGAACAAATAAAAAAACCACACCTTGTAATAAATAGAAAAAAATAAGAAAGTGCCTCAAGGAAGAAGCTGGCAGGTGTGCTACTCAATTAAGAACTGAAAAAGAATCAATATACTTGGCAGCATAAGTGCTATTTATAACCTTGCCTAGAATAATTCTGATGGAACTACGAAGTAGAGGCTAACTATAGTGGGCTGACAATGACATGGGAAATAGAATTGAGATTATTTTTAAACTGATTTCAAGCTGAACAACTTTTAAAAGAAGCATGTATAACACAAACCACTTGGAGTTTTTGAAGAGTAAGAAAACAATATCTTAAAAGCTGAGAAAAATTCTATAAGGGCTAAGTTTCTAAATTGTGTCTCCTTCCAAATAATTGTATCCTACTTAATTTAACATTTGCAGGATAGACAATAGTCATGAAAACTCTAAAGGATTGCTTTAAACAGTTTTAGCAAAATTCCAAATGGGAAACTCCCTTTTCACCAGTCCACACTTAGTATGGAAGCTCTACTCCAGACAACGCAGACAGAAAATATTGGGGGCTTTACTGCCCCATCCAGCAACTTTCTCATAAAGCAGAGGTGTTAAGGGAACACCTCTGCTTTATGAGAAGTGTGCTACTGTTTCCATTCTCAGCTCCAGAACAGCTGCTCAGAAATTTTTCCTAAGGGAAGAGACAGTCCCCAAGAATAAACTGCTCAAAAGAATGTGACTTAATTTGAAACATGGCATAGAAAAATTCAAGTCTAAAGGGGTTCTTGAAAATAATGGAGATTTTGGTTTTAAGCACTTAAGAGGCTGGTAACTTCATGAGGGCAAAACCTGAACTGTGTAGGCCAGTTAGTTTACTAGAGAGAATGAGGGCAGAGACAGGAAGAACATCCCTTCTGGGGTCCAAACACTTGTCTCAAAAACTACCCCTGAAAAAAAGCCTAATTTAATTGGTTCAGATTGCAGAACAATCAGTGCATTCAAATATTGTCACAAACAAGATAGCAATTAGTGAGCAATCAGTGATTCCTAACAGTTGAGAATAATACCAACAAGGGCATGGAAAGAGTCAAACAGAGGCCTGCTAAATCTAGTGCCACCTCAGAAGATTGTGCACATGTCCTGAGGAGGGACATCAGAAGCTTCATATTGATGGGGAGTTAGGGTAGAGGTAGGAAAATTCACTAAATAGTCCTGCCAAGTCAATAAATAAATAAGAAAAAGGAAAACAAGCCATGGAAATAGGGGAATCAGTATCCAGAGTTGCCACAATATATTGCCAAAATGTCCAGTTTAAGAAAAAAATTACAAAAGCATAAAAAAATGTAGGGCCCTATGATAGGGCCCAGATGTAGGCTTTAACAGACAAAAATTCCAAAGTTGCCATTATAAATATATTCAAAGTATTAAAAGAATTCATGCCTAAAGAAGTATAAGAATGTAAGATAACAATATCTCATTAAATACAGCATATTATTTGAAGAGAAATTACATCTATAGAAAAATAACCAAATAGAAATTCTGGAGTTAAAATAACTGAAATGAGAAAACCATTAGAACAACTCAACAGTATATCTGAACTAAAAACAGAATCAGAGAACTTTAAGATAGATTAGTATTTCTGTTTTTGAAAGTGAATGCTTAAAGTTATATTAAACAAGAAATCAGGGAAAARAGCATTAGTTTCATTTAAGAGTCTTTTTATCATTATTTCCTATAAAGAGACAACATGGAGGGATTTCTAAAACAAATGGCTAATTTTAAAAATAAATGTAATATGTCTTATGTACATTCTAATTCCATATGACTTCTACTATGATGTGGCAAGGGAATCACTAAATGAATCAGGAGACATGGAATTCAGGTCAGCATGCTTTGCTGAACTATTCTCTGTCACTTTTTATTTTTATCTTTTGTAATCARGGATTGACCAAGGGGCACTTAACCACTGATCCACATCCCCAGCCCTTTTTTATATTTTATTAGAGACAGGGTCTCACTAAGTTGCTTAGTGCCTTGCTTTTGCTAAGGCTGGCTTTGAACTCATGATTCTCCTGCCTCAGCCTCCTGAGCCACTGGGATAACAGGCATGCACCAACACACCTGGCTAGATCAGATTCTTCACCACATCTTTGAGCTTATGGGATGAACAACTAAGCCGCTGACTCCCACTTCAATCAGGCTAGAAAGAAAATCTCTCTTTTCCTAAACAATGGAATTTTGCATAATAGTTCAATAGACAAAAAAGAACTTYATCTTTAAATGAAAACATGAAAATCCTTAAACTAGATAACCTAAGACTACTTGCAGCTGTAACAACCCAGGAATACTACAGTAGGTTATAGAGAGACCTTTTGTAAGAGTACTGCAATCAACTACAATTTAGGCAACAAGCCAAATAGGTGTTTTAAAAAACTAGTGGTGTTTTGATTTCAAAGGAATTAGTAAACATTACACTTTTATCTTTATCTCTGCTTGTCAAAGACATTAATTATAAACTCACTTTGCCTTTTACATTTCTAAATATAACCTGAGACACACATGATTTAAAAGAAAAACACTTATTCCCAGCGGCTTGGGAGGCTGAGACAGTGGTTGAGTGCCCCTGAGTTCAATCCCCAGTAACCTGGCTCCCCCCACAAAAAGAAAGAAAGAAAAACACTCAAGTATGATATATTTTTGAAAAACACCATAAGGTCTATAGTAAATATGTAAAGTCCCATCCTTAAATGTAAGATAAACTTACCAATGGTCAGAAAATCTGATCGATATTGACAAGTCATTCCAAAGCCAAAATCTCTCCAAAAACCAGAATCCTTTTTGTGAACCTTAAGTTAAAAAAACAAAAAATTCAATTTAATTCCTCGAGAACTAGAAGTTTTAATCAATAACGAATCAAGTTCTTTTCCAAAGTATACTTTTTTCCTATTATTTATATGAATGACAAAGGATTTTTGTTATTAACTTCGTACAAAAACCAAAAATATAGTAATCTGTGTGAGCCAAGGATTTTTACCACTTGCAAGTGATGAAAGTGTTTGAGCTCTATACAAGGTGCAAGCTGGTAACTAATAATCAAATAGTGCAGTCCTGACCTCAAGGGGCATACATTCTAGGAGGACAAGAATTGCACAAACTTATACTGCAATGCACCATGATTAACCATACAAATACCTTATTTGGGTGCCTCCCCAGTACACATTTCTCAGGCCCCCTCTTTTTTTTTTTTTTTTTTTAAAGAGAGTGAGAGAGGAGAGAGAGAAAGAATTTTTAATATTTATTTTTTAGTTAGCGGACACAACATCTTTGTTGGTATGTGGTGCTGAGGATCGAACCCGGGCTGCACACATGCCAGGCGAGCGCTACCACTTGAGCCACATCCCCAGCCCTCAGGCCCCCTCTTGATAATACAGTTTTGTTCTGGTAATTACCTGGCCCCATGCATCCCATGAACTTTGGGAAACTCCTGTCACCTGGTAGTTTCTGAGTAAGCCCTGAGTACTTTACACCAATGAGAAAATCTCATTCTACTTACTTTAGGGAAGAGTTCACCATTAGGTATTAGACAAAATTCAGGCCAACAAGCTAAAAAGGAGGGTTTTTGGGGACTTCAGAAAACAAAGCCTCTTTATTCTTCCTAGAGAACTACTAGAAAATTCGCTTGTTCTTTTTGGATGGTATAAGGCAAGGGTCAGCAAACTATGGCCTTGGGCTGACTCTGGACTGCTGTCTGCTTTTGTAAGTTATTTAATTTACAGTGTTGCAGTTGAGTAGAAATATTTCCTATCTGGTTCTTTACAGAAAAGTTTGCCAATCCCTCATGCAGGATGCAGATACAAAGCTTGGAAATGCTGAGTCTTWTCCACCATGAGGGAAACCAAATTCAAAATGAAGTTGTCACTGCTGAATTCCAAGTACAGAAAGTAATGTAAAATCAGGGCTTTGTGGAAAAATTAGCAAATAAATACATATATATTCTGGTGGCAATACATGCCAGGACAATGACAGAAGAAAAGCCTTTCTTACATAATTGCCATAAAAGGCTTCTCTGAGGAGGTAAACTTTTGAGCAGGAACCTGACTGACATGAGGAGGGAACTAGGCAAATTATGTGGAAGAAATCATTGCAGACTAGGAGAGCAGCATGTAAGATGACTCTGGTAGGAGCATGCTTATAGCATGTAACAAATAACAAGGGAATGACTGTGGCAAGAGCAGAAAATGAGGCTCTGGAGTCAAGAAGGGGCTGTTAGTATTTCTTAAAGATAAGTAGTATATGCTATTTTTGTATGGTTATGGGAATAATTTAGAAGAGGCAAATGTTAGGACAGGAGAGGGGAAGAATGGCTAGAGGAGGTCCTTATAAATACAACAGAGGTCACCACAAAAGGATAAGCTGGTCTTATGAAGGGACATGGGACATTCCATTGGGAATGTGATAAGCAGAGGCAGTAAGGCTGACAGAACTCTTGAGATGATAATGAGGAAGAGAACTTCTGGCTGCTTCTCTTTTTCCATGTGAAATAGTAAGCAAGATAATTGGAGGGTGAAGGGTACTGGGATGGTTATGAGTCCAGTGTGGCCTCAAGGACAGAGAATGATGAAAGTGTAAGGCACAGGACTCTAGAGCAGTCAAGGAGCCTGAGACTCTAAAGTCTATAGATTAGGGCTATACATCCACTGCTTTGGGTCTGGGTGATAGAGATGGAGTTCTATGGGAACACTGGAAGGAGCAAGGAACAAAGGAGGTGAGTACACAGCAAAGAGGTTGTGGCTATGACTGACCATGGAGCTTGACTTGGGTAGGAAGCAAGAACCTGGATGTGAGAAGAACAAGAGAAAAGAGAGAGGTGCCTCACACAAACTGTAGCATACTAAGACAGTTTCCTTCAGGAAATGAAGCTGGAGCTGGGATCGTTTAGATGAATGAACAAGTGAAAGATGATATGTTAGGGTAGAGTTCTGGAAAAAGAACCGTTTGTGCAAAAGCCAACAAATGGGAGAGCACTGTAGGTTAGGGATGGAGAAGACTAAAGGCTAGAGTCAGAAGGAGAGGTGACTATAGTACAGAGACGGCTCAGCAAACTTATTCCATAGAAGGCCATGGAGTATATATTTCAGGGCCAAGTAACATAATCTGTCACAATTATTGTACTGTGCCTGTACTATGAAAGTAGTTGCTGACCATAAATAATCAAATGAGTGTACTGTGTTCCAGTAAACTTTACTATGGACACTTAAATTCATATTTCATATAATTTCCATGTGTTATGAAATATTATTTAATGTTTTTTAGTTATTAACATTGTAAACATAACTCGTAATTTATAGGCTATATAAAACAAGGTAGAAGGGCTGACTTGGACCACAAGCCATAACTGCTTGTGGTACACAAGGGTGTTCCATGTATGTCCCTGCACATTCTTYTAGGCCAAACCCTGGCCTAGAAGAATGTGTAGGGACATACCTGGTACATCTTGTGTACCTGTGGTTCAGGTTTATCCTAATGGCAATGAGTGTTCTTTGAAGAGCTGGAGAAGAAGTAATGTGATGTTTTTGGAAGATCACTTTGGCTGGAATACAGAGAACAAACTAGAAGAGGTAAGAAGGGAGGCCAGTTAAGAGGCAATGACTATAACTACGAATGGGAAATAAGTGGTATAGATTATTCTGGTGTGTGTGTGTGTGTGTGTGTGTGTGTGTGTGTGTGTGTGTGTG